TGCCACAAAGAAGTGGGGGTTCAGGTTGTTCACCAGAGCATCCAAGGGAAGGACAAGAAACAATGGTTGGAAGCTGATCAAAGAGAGAAGCAACCTGGAATTAAGGAGAAACTTCCTAATAGTGAGGACAATTAACCAGTGGAACAGCTTGCCACCAGAAGTCGTGGGTGCTCCATCATTGGAGGTTTTTAAGAAGAGACTAGACATTCACCTGTCTGGGACGGTATAGGTTCTCCTGCTTGAGCAGGGGGCTGGACTAGAAGACCTCCAAGGTCCCTTCCAGATTCTATTCTATTCTATTCTATTCTATTCTATTCTATTCTATTCTTATCATTATTTCTATTCTATTCTATTCTATTCTATTCTATTCTATTCTATTCTATTCTATTATCATTATTTCTATTCTATTCTATTTTTATCATTATTTCTATTCTATTCTATTCTTGTCATTATTTCTATTCTATTCTATTCTATTCTGTTCTGTTCTATTCTATTCTATTCTATTCTATTCTATTCTATTCTATTCTATTCATCTTAAGCCCAGGACTCTTCAATATCTTTATCAATGACTTAGATGGGGGAATACAAGGGGAACTCATCAAATTTGCAGATGACAATAAACTGGCAGGAAGAGCCAACACCCCAGAAGATAAACTTGGGATCCAAAAAGATCTTGACAGACTTGAACAATGGGCCCTATCAAAAAAAATGATATTTGGTTTGGTTAATCTAGAGAAAAGGAGGATGAGGGGGGACAAGATAGCAGTGTTCCAATATTTCAGAGGAAGCCCCAAAGAAGAGGGAGTCAAGGTATTCTCCAAAGCGCCGAGAAGCAACGGATGGAAACGAATCAAGGAGAGAAGCAACCTGGAACTAAGGAGAAACTTCCTGACAGGGAGAACAATTAACCAGTGGAACCGCCTGCCTCCAGAAGCTGTGAATGCTCCAACACTGGAAGGTTTTAAGAAGAGACTGGACAGCCATTTGTCCAAAATGGTATCAGGTCTCTTGCTTGAGCAGGGGGTTGGACTAGATGACCTCCGAGGTCCCTTCCAGCTCTGTGCTGATTCTGATTCATAAGTGGAAGGCATTGGCGGACATCAAGTCTACAAGAGCTGGGCAGAAACGCTACCCTTCCCTGGGCCAGCTGTGTTGCAAGAACTTTTAATTTGATGTCCCTTCCCAGCTAAGTGCAAAGATGGAGTAGTGGAACAGTAAAATAACAAAACAACGTGCCTCCCCCTTTCCTGGTGCCTCTTAAAAGGCCATCAGGGATCTGGAGGTCAGCACTGGTGGAGGAGATAAAGGAAGGAAAAGACGTAAAGAGAAATTTAACTGCTCCTTGCTCCGCTCCAATCTCTCTTTCTCTCTCTCTCTCTCTCTTTTTTGCCAAAGTTAATTTGAGCTGGGTGATGATAGGTTTGGATGCAGAAGGGGGGGCAGGAAAGAGCAGAGATATGATCCAGAGACTTTTGCAGCCAGATCCCATTTCTTTCCTGCTCTGGTTGCTGATAGGGATGTTTTCCCCGCTCACTGGTGATACGCAAGAGACAGGAAAGCCTCAGAGATCCCCCCAGTGGCTCTGGTTATCTCTTGCTGTGCTTGGATAGAATTAGAACTGCAGCATTGATGGTGATTTGGATCCCGGGATAAACACTGGGAGGGACCAGCAGTGGTGTAACTGGTATTGTGGTGTGGGAAGTCAGCCCCCCCCCGAGAAGGAAATATTAAAAGGGGAGAAAAATATAATAATAATAATAATAATAACAATAACAACAACAACAACAACAACAACACCATTGGCATTGACAAATTCGCTATTAGTCAATTGCAAAAGGCGGCCTTACTAGGAACTGCTTCCATCCTGCGATGATATCTGTAATACAATCAAACATCCACATCTGCCTATCCCAGGTCCTGGGTAAGGACTCGATAGGCAGACAAAATGCCAAATCCAGTCTGAACATCTGGCTGACTGTGCGATGATCAATAATAATAATAATAATAATACTAATAAATACTAATAATAATGCACTGAATTTATTATATCAAAGGATGCCTTACTGACTACTGGGAGACCAAACTAACTGGCCTACAAGAAAGACCAAATGAAGACAGAATGATCATGGGAAACAAAGATACATGGCCAATACATGAAAAAATAGCTGGACAGCGTAATAATAAAACCTGGCAATGGCTAGGAGCAGGAAAATTGAAGAAAGAAACCAAGGGACTAATTCTGGCTGCCCAAGACTAAGCCTTAAGGACAAATGCATACAAAGTCAAAATTGAGAAGACAGCAACAGACAGTAAGTGCCGCCTATGCAAAGAAGCTGAAGAAACAGTGGACCACCTGGTAAGCTCTTGCAAGAAGATTGCACAGACTGACTACAAGCAGCGGCATGACAAAGTAGCAACAATGGTGCATTGGAAGATATGCAAAAAATATCATTTGCCTGTAAACAAAAACTGGTGGGATCATAAAATAGAGAAAGTCATAGAAAATGATAAAATTAAACTGCTCTGGAACTTCAGAATTCAAACAGACAAGCACCTGCAACATAACACCCGCAGACTTAACAATTTGTCGATAAGAAGAAAATGGTCCTGGATATTGACGTGCATTGCCTGGAGAGAACAAATAGAAGAGAAAGAACTGGAGAAGATAACAAATACAAAGACCTACAATAAAATAGAAACTGTGGCAAAAGGCAAGCAAGGGTAGTACCAATAGCATAGCTCTTTTGTGCAATCCCAAAACAATCTGGAGCACCACTTTGACACCCATTGGCAATGACAATTCGCTATTAGTCAATTGCAAAGGCGGCCTTACTAGGAACTGCTTCCTCCTGCGACGATATCTGTAATACCCATCAAACATCCACATCGCCTATCCCAGGTCCTTGTAAGGACTCGATAGTAGACAAAATGCCCAAATCCAGTCTGAACATCTGGCCGACTGTGCGATGATCCATAATAATAATATAATGATGATGGTGATGATGATGATGATAAAGTTGGAAGGGACCTTGGAGGTCATCTAGTCCAACCCCCTGCTCAAGCAGGAAACCCTATACCATTTCGGACAAATGGCTGTCTAGTCTCTTCTTAAAAACTTCCAGTGTTGGAGCATTCACTGCTTCTAGAGGCAGGTTGTTCCACTGGTTAATTGTTCTAAGTGTCAGGAAGTTTCTCCTTAGTTCTAGGTTGCTTCTCTCCTCGCTTAGTTATTAGCCCCAGGGAAGTAGGATATGACCTTTGGACATAATAAGATTAACCCACCACCATCAGAATGCCAGAAAGGCACACTCAGACTCAGGTCAAAGTTCATGCCACAGGAACAACTCCAAAAAACAAAAGGCTCCAGAGGGTATAAAAACCCACTCCCTACATGTGCTCACCCTTCTTTTCTTCTAGAGCCATCTTCCTGTCTGGCTCTCCTCTTCAATAAACTACAACCTGCTTTTTAAAGCAGTCTCCGTGTTGTTTATCTCCAGCTTGGACTGAACCACAATGAAGACTGTTCTTCCAACAGTGGTGCATCGTTTCTGTTGATTCAAGGATGGTTGACAGAATAACAGAATGGAAAGGGACCGTGGGGGTCTTCTAGACCCCACCTGGAATACCTCAACCAATTTTGGTCGCCTTACTCCGAAAAAAAAAGAGGTGGAGACTTTGGATAAAGTTCCGAGAAGAGCAACTAAGATGCTCAAAGGTTTGGAGACTAGAACATACGTAGAAGGGCTGCAGGACTTGGGTTTGGCCAATCTGGAGAAAACATGGACTAGGGGGGGTCATGATAGCAGTATTCCAGTATTTCGGGGGCTGCTACAAAGAAGAGGGGGTTCAACGTATTCTCCAAAACACTTCAAGGCAAGACAAGGAGCAATGGATGGAAACTAAAAAAAAGGAGCAACCAGCAACCTGGAATTAAGGACTGTTAACCCCAGGAAGTAGAGTGAGTGAGAAAGAGACTCAAGATAACCCTCTCTTGATTCTGCTTGGTTGAAGACTATCGGTATAAATCCCAGCAAACTAGAATACTACAACCAATTTTGGTCACCATACTACAGAAAAGATATTGAGACCTTGGAAAAGTTCAGAGAAGAGCAACTAAGATGATCCAAGGCCTGGAGACTAAAACATACGAAGAATGGCTGCAGGACTTGGGTTTGGCTAGTCTAAAGAAAAGAAGAAAGAGGGGATACATGATAGCAGCATTCCAGTATTTGAGAGGCTGCCACAAAGAAGAGGGGATCAAATTGTTCTCCAAAGCACCAGAGGGCAGGACAAGAAACAATGGTTGGAAACTGATCAAAGAGAGAAGCAACCTGGAATTAAGGAGAAACTTCCTGACAGCGAGGACAATTAACCAGTGGAACAGCTTGCCACCAGAAATTGTGGGCGCTCCATCACTGGAGATTTTTAAGACGAGACTTAGACACTTGTCTGAAATGGTATAGGTTCTCCTGCTTGAGCAGGGGGCTGGACTAGAAGACCTCCAAGGTCCCTTCCAGATTCTATTCTATTCTATTCTATTCTATTCTATTCTATTCTATTCTATTCTATTCTATTCTATTCTATTCTATCTTTATTCTATTCTATTCTATTCTATTCTATTCTATTCTATTCTATTCTATTCTATTCCATATTTTCTATTCTATTCTATTCTATTCTATTCTATTCTATTCTATTCTATTCTATTCTATTCTATTCTATTCTATTACATTCTATTCTCTGGATCTTGTGCAGGCCATTGCTTGTGAAGAGAGAGTTGGGGCTTGTAGGGACAGAGTGATCCTTTCACTCATTGCTCATTGAGTCATAAAGTAGATTCATCGATTTCAATGGAGCAGGCTATCTGAATTAAGCCAACTGAAGCTTAGTCAACCAATCACCGTTGAGCAAGTCAAAGCCTAATGCTATTTGTGACCTCATAGACCCATGAAGCTGATCTTGTAGGCCACCACCTAGTTGAGCCAGTTAAGTCTCTGCTCACCTTGGCTTGAGGACCTTCAGCGAGAGAGAGAGAGAAAGAGATCTTCCATGACTCATGATCCATCCAAGCCCATCTCTCTTGAGGCTGAACCTCAATCAGTCTTCCTCATTTTTTTAAGCCTCTTTATCTCACCTGGATTTCTGGGCAGCAGGAAACGAAGCCTTCCTTCATCCCCTCCGTCTACATTTCTCTAGGTAAAAGTCATACTACATTCCTCTTCATGGCTTGTCATCTAATAATAATAATAGTAAAGTTGGAAGGGACCTTGGAGGTCATCTAGTCTAACCCCCTGCTCAGGCAGGAAACCCTACCCCATTTCGGATAAATGGCTGTCCAGTCTCTTCTTAAACACTTCCAGTGTTGAAACATTTACTGCTTCTGGAGGCAGGTTGTTCCACTGATTAATTGTTCTAACTGTCAGGAATGTTTCTCCTTAGTTCTAGGTTGCTTCTCTCTTTGGTTAGTTTCCATCCGTTGCTTCTTGTCTTGCCTTCAGGGGCTTTGGAGAATAGCTTGACTCCCTCTTCTTTGGGGCAGTCCCTGAGATACTGGAACACAGCTATCATGTCACCTCTACTCCTTCTCTTCTGAACTTTTACGGAATACAGAATGACAGAGTTGGAAGGGACTTTGGAGGTTGTCGAGTCCAACCCCCTGCTCAGGCAGGAAACCCTACACCATTTCAGACAAATGGCTGTCCAGTCTCTTCTTAAAAACTTCCAGTCTTGGAGCATTCACAGCTTCTGGAGGCAGGTTGTTCCACTGGTTAATTGTTCTCACTGTCAGGAAGTTTCTCCTTAGTTCTAGGTTGCTTCCCTCCTTGATGAGTTTCCCTCCATTGCTTCTAGTCCTGCCTTCAGGCGCTTTGGAGAAGAGCTTGACTCCCTCTTCTGAACTCATGACTTCTTAAACACAGAGCCCTGAACGTAGATGGAGGTCAGGTGGGGGCAGAATCTGCTTGGGACTTAAGACGCCTGATTCCATGAGGGTGGCAGAATTGATATGGATGTGAAGGAAGCACGGGATGGGGAGAAGGAAAGAGGGCAGCGTGGAGAAGTAACCAACAAAGGGAGAATCTCTGTAGCTCAGGGTTGAAATGAGGGATCCCTGGTGCTCTCTGAGCTTGCTGGTTTTCTTGCGGACATTTCATGACCCTAACTCGGTAACATCATCAGGGCTAGAAGGGAGTGGTGGTTAGGGAGAGGAGGAGGAGGGAGGAGGAGGAGGAGGAAGAGGAGGAGGAGAAGGAGAAGGAGGAGGAAGAGGGAGGAGGAAGAGGAGGGAGGAGGAGGAGGAGGAAGAGGAGGAGGAACAGGAGGGAGAGGAGGAGGAAAAGGGAGGAGGAGGAGGAGGAAGAAGGAGGAGGAGGAAGAAGAGGAGGAGGAAGAGGGAGGAGGAAGAGGAGGAGGAAGAAGAAGAAGAGGAGGAGGAGGAGGAAGAGAGCTGTGAGGCCCTTGGTGCTCTCTGAGTTTGCTTGTTTTCTTGCAGACATTTCATTACCCAACTAGATAACATCATCAGTACTAGAATAGAGGAGGAGGAGGAGGAGGAGGAAGAGGAGGAGGAAGATGGAAGAGGAAGAGGAGAGGAGGAGGAGGAAGAGGAGGAGGAGGAAGAGAGCTGTGAGCCCACTTGGGCTCTCTGAGTTGCTTTTTCCTTGCAGACATTTCATTACCCAACTAGATAACATCATCAGTACTAACTAGAGTAGGAGGAGGATGAGGCGGAGGAGAAGAGGAGGAAGAGGAAGAGGGAGGAGGAGGAGGAAGAGAGAGGAGGAGGAAGAGAGCTGTGGGGCCCTGGGTGCTCTCTGAGTTTGCTTGTTTTCTTGCAGACATTTCATTACCCAACTAGATAACATCATCAGTACTAGAATAGAGGAGGAGGAGGAGGAGGAGGAGGAAGAAGAGGAGGAAGAGGAAGAGGGAGGAGGAGGAGGAAGAGAGAGGAGGAGGAAGAGAGCTGTGAGGCCCTTGGTGCTCTCTGAGTTTGCTTGTTTTCTTGCAGACATTTCATTACCCAACTAGATAACATCATCAGTACTAGAATAGAGGAGGAGGAGGAGGAGGAGGAAGAAGAGGAGGAAGAGGAAGAGGAAGAGGGAGGAGGAGGAGGAAGAGAGAGGAGGAGGAAGAGAGCTGTGGGGCCCTTGGTGCTCTCTGAGTTTGCTTGTTTTCTTGCAGACATTTCATTACCCAACTAGATAACATCATCAGTACTAGAATAGAGGAGGAGGAGGAGGAGGAAGAAGAGGAGGAAGAGGAAGAGGAAGAGGGAGGAGGAGGAGGAAGAGAGAGGAGGAGGAAGAGAGCTGTGGGGCCCTTGGTGCTCTCTGAGTTTGCTTGTTTTCTTGCAGACATTTCATTACCCAACTAGATAACATCATCAGTACTAGAATAGAGGAGGAGGAGGAGGAGGAGGAGAAGAGGAGGAAGAGGAAGAGGAAGAGGGAGGAGGAGGAGGAAGAGAGAGGAGGAGGAAGAGAGCTGTGGGGCCCTTGGTGCTCTCTGAGTTTGCTTGTTTTCTTGCAGACATTTCATTACCCAACTAGATAACATCATCAGTACTAGAATAGAGGAGGAGGAGGAGGAGAAGGAGGAGCGAGGAGGAAGAAGAAGAGGAGGAGGCAGACCGTGGGGATCTTGGTGCTCTCTGAGCTTGCTTGTTTTTTTGCAGACATTCCATTACCCAAACTAGGGAATAGCATCAGTGCTAGTAAGGAGCGCTTAATGACTGTGTGATTCCCTTAACAACTGCAGTGATTCCCTTAACAACCGAGTCAAGAGACGAGTCCCACCTGATTTTTTATGACAGCAAGAAAAGACTGTAAAACGGGACACACAATTCACTTCGCAACTGTTTAGCTTAGCAGTGGAAGTTTTGGGCTCACTGGGGCTCTTACATCAAGGCCCATCGGTACATCTCTAAAATTGATGGATTGATTCGTGTGCTGCTATTCCAGAAGATATTCCCAGTTTTTAAAATCCCACATGATATTTTTTTTGGGGGGGGGGAGTGTCCATTTTAAATTCTTTTCTCTTCTTCTTCCAGATCTCTTGAGGGTGCCATGGATTCCACCCTGTGCAATGGATGCGGCGTTCCTTATCTCAGGTAAAATTGGAACGTGTCTTCCTTTCGCACCGGACTTTTCAAAATCTTGGCTACTTCCCACAAACAATATTTACGAGAACTATGGGGCCACCGTGTCCTCAACATGTTCATGTCACCATAGAATAAAATAGAGAATAGAATGGAATAGAGAATAGCGAATAGCGAATAGAGAATTGAAAATAGAGAATAGAGAATAGAGACTAGAGAATAGAATAGAATAGAATAGAATAGAATTACAAAATAAAATAGAAATACAGAATAAAATAGAAATACAGGAGAGAAGAGAAGAAGAGAAGAGAAAATATGGAATCGAATCGAATCAAATCGAATAGAATAGAATTACAGAATAGAATAGAATTACAGAATAGAATAGAATTACAAATTAAAATAGAAATACAGAATAAAATAGAAATGCAGAAGAGAAGAGAAAATATGGAATGGAATGGAATCGAATCAAATAGAATAGAATAGAATAGAATTACAGAATAGAATAGAATTGCAGAATAGAATAGAATTACAGAATAGAATAGAATTACAAAATAAAATAGAAATACAGAATAAAATAGAAATACAGAATAAAATAGAAATAGAGAAGAGAAGAGAAAATATGGAATGGAATGGAATGGAATGGAATAGAATAGAATAGAATTACAGAATAGAATAGAATTGCAGAATAGAATAGAATTACAGAATAGAATAGAATTACAAAATAAAATAGAAATACAGAATAAAATAGAAATACAGAATAAAATAGAAATAGAGAAGAGAAGAGAAAATATGGAATGGAATGGAATGGAATAGAATAGAATAGAATAGAATAGAATAGAATAGAATAGAATAGAATAGAATAGCATAAGAAATAGACTAAAACAGGGATAGGCAACCTTGGCTCTTTTATGACTTGTGGACCTCAACTCCCAGAATTCCTGAGCCAGCTATGCTGGCTCAGGAATTCTGGGAGTTGAGGTCCACGAGTCATAAAAGAGCCAAGGTTGCCTACCCCTGGACTAGAATAAGGAATAGAATAGAATAAGGAATAGGAATAGAATAAGGAATAGGAATAGAATAGAAAAGGATATAGAATAGAATGGAGCTGGAAGGGACCTTGGAGGTCTTCTAGTCCAGCCCCCTGCTCGATGTTGATCTGTTTTATTTTCAGAGCACAAAATCTGCAGGAAGGTTAATTCCCCTCCCCCAAAGGACTGCACAGACCTAGAATAGAATAGAATAGAATAGGAGCTGGAAGGGACCTTGGAGGTCTTCTAGCCCAACCCCCCATTCAGGCAGGAAACCCTATATACCATTTCAGACAAATGGTTTAAAATGAGGTCAGCGCCGATAGTCCAAAAACAGTCTATAACGGGACCCAGAGTTTTCACTGCTAACTAATTCCCATGTTGGTTCGGGAATTCTGGGAGTGGAATATCTGCAGATGGTCACCTTGCCGTAGGTGCCCATCCCCTGGCATGGAGGATAGGCTGGATGGGATGGGAATTGCGCCATGGGAGGCAGTGGGGGTGGGGGTGAGACTTTCCCGTGACCCTAACAGCTTTTGGCTTTCTGGGAAGTTGCTATCCTACGCCTCGTTTGGGGAAGATGTGGCTGAGTTTTTATGCACCCTTCTGAAGATGCCTTTTGGTGTGTTTGCGTTTCAGAGAAGAGCCCAGGGCAAAGAAGATCAAGCTGCAGATAAAGGAGGGCACATGCGTGGCCGGGCGTGGGAATAAGGCAGTAAGCACAGTGGAATTTTGTGTAGTAGTTGCATTTAGTGGCGTAGTGCAGAGGTCTCCAACTTTTCGGGCATCAGGGACCGGTTCCGTGGAGAGAGATTTTGCCGCGGACCGGAGTGTGCGTGGTTTTGTGTGCTGCCTGCATCCCACAGATGGGGCTTTGCTTGCTTGTGTGGACCGGTTGCCGGCATGCCGCGGCTCGGTACCGGTCCACAGACTGGGGGTTGGGGACTCCTGGTGTAGTGGGAATGGCCTTGGGAGACAGGAGGAAGAGCTGCAGGCCGGACAACTGGTGGATAAAGGTTGTCTCAGTCCATAGCAGGAAAAGGGGCATGGGAAGGACTCAGAAGGGGCCCACCCTCGTTTTCCAGAGAGTAAAAAGAGGGGTGGGTGGTAAGAAGTGTTTTCATTCTTGAAAGACGCCACTACTTTAACCCTACAATAGAGACAGAGCTAGTGCTTGTATTCTATTCCATTCCATTCCATTCCATTCTATTCCATATTTTCTACTCTCTTCCATTCCATTCTGTTCCATTCCATATATTCTATTCTATTCTATTCTATTCTATTCTATTCTATTCTATTCTATTCTATTCTATTCTATTCTATTCTATTCTATTCTATTCTATTCTATTGTATTCTATTCTATTCTATTCTAATCTATTCTATTCTATTCTATTCTATTCTATTGTATTCTATTCTATTCTATTCTAATCTATTCTATTCTACTCTACTCTACTCTACTCTATACTCTACTCTACTCCATTCCATATTTTATATTCTATGCTATGCTATGCCATGCCATGCCATGCCATTCCATTCCATTCCATTCCATTCCATTCCATTCCATTCCATTCTATTCTATTCTACTCTATTCTACTCTACTCTACTCCATTCCATATTTTCTATTCTATTCTATTCTATTCTATTCTATTCTATTCTATTCTATTCTATTCTATTCTATTCTATTCCATTCTATTCCATTCCATATTTTCTATTCTATTCTATTCTATTCTATTCTATTCTATTCTATTCTATTCTATTCTATTCTATTCTATTCTACTCTACTCTACTCTACTCTACTCTACTCTACTCTACTCTATACTCTACTCTACTCCATTCCATATTTTCTATTCTATGCTATGCTATGCTATGCCATGCCATGCCATTCCATTCCATTCCATTCCATTCCATTCCATTCCATTCTATTCTATTCTATTCTATTCTATTCTATTCTATTCTATTCTATTCTATTCTATTCTACTCTACTCTACTCCATTCCATATTTTCTATTCTATTCTATTCTATTCTATTCTATTCTATTCTATTCTATTCTATTCTATTCTATTCTATTCTATTCCATTCCATATTTTCTATTCTATTCTATTCTATTCTATTCTATTCTATTCTATTCTATTCTATTCTATTCTATTTCCCTGTTTTTTCATTTTTTCTTTCTTCTTTTGCTCTTATTTCTTTTAAAGATATGAGAAATGTTAAAATGTGGTGGCTTGTGTGAGAAAAAAGATTTAAAAACTTAAGTATAACTAATTTTGAGAAAATCTTAACCCGTAAGAATGCTTTGAATATTGTGGGGAAAATAAATTTAAATGAGAATGTAAGCAGGACTTGTGGTGAGGCAATCAAGATCATCAATGAAAAGAAGCTTTATACTGACGTGATTATTACTTGCAGAAACGTGAGAAAAATGTTTATATTTAATTGTCATTTATTTAAATAAGAATTGTATTCGTTGAAAGTTGGCAAAAGAAAATATTATTGGAAGAAGCGGAGATCAAGTAATCTATCTATCACATGGACTATAGAATTATAGAAAGTAATTGTTATTGATTGTTTTCTAAACATTAACCCAGACAACAAGATGTTTACCAAATATTAAGGTGTATGTTAAAAAATCTTCCATTGTTTAATTGTCCTCACTGTCAGGAAGTTTCTCCTTAATTCCAGGTTGCTTCTCTCCTTGATCAGTTTCCAACTATTGTTTCTCGTCCTTCCCTCTGGTGCTCTGGTGAACAACCTGACCCCCCCATTCTTTGTGGCAGCCCCTCAGATACTGGAATGCAGCTATCATGTCTCCCCTATTTCTTTTTTTCTTTGCCTGTAAAGCAGTGTTTCCCAAACTTGATAATTTTAAGGCATGAGGACTTCAACTCCCAGAATTCCACAGCCAGCGTTGCTGGCTGTGGAATTCTGGGAGTTGAAGTCCACATGCCTTAAAATTGTCAAGTTTGGGAAACACTGCTGTAAAGTCATTCCCATTTTCTTTTAACAGGTGACTGAACTGCGGGAGCAAGCTGCAGATTCCTTCCCAAGTGATGGGCTGCTGGAGGAAAGGAGAAGAAAGAAAGAGCGAACTGGTGGTGGAAAAGTAGAGGCTGAAGGCCATTCAACGCAAGAGGAGAAAAGAGAAAGCAGAGCCACCGAAAGTCCAGAGAAGAAGGATTTCAGAGGAACAGAAGAAGAGAGGAACAATGACAAGCAGTTGGAGGAGAATATTGGACCAGGGGAGGAAGAAGTTGTGGTGGACAGGAGAAGATCTGAGCAGAACATTGTGGTCAAGACGGAGAAGGAGTGGGAAGGCGAGAGAGAGGTGGACAGAGAACTGACTGGTGAGGAACTGCCTCACCTGGGAAAGGAGACGGAGGCGGAAGAAAGGATAGAAGGTGAGTCTGGAGTTGGGGCACCATTTGAGGTCAAGCTGGAAGGTGCCTCTGAAGAAGAAGGAGAAGAAGAAGAAGAAGCGACAGGAGGCCAAGGAGCCCTACAAGACAGAGGAGGAAAAAAGACCAAGAGAACCAGAAGCAAAAGAGGCGTTCAAAATGTAGAATTTCTCAGAGGATCCCGGAAAAGGAAAAACGAGGAAGTGGACAAGACTTTGAAGAAGAAGAAAAAGAAGAAGGAGGAAGGAAATTGTGGGAGAAGATCCAAAGCCGAGGAGGACAAGTGGAGATGGTACGTTTATCATTGGAGTGATTTCTGCACTCAGCATGGATGGCAAAAGGAGGTTTCTGATCTTAAATCTCTGTTATTGAAGTTCCTTGCCCAATTTTACACAGCCGGTGCTAATAGTGGAATTATTTATTGAGACGATTAAGGGGAGAAAATGACCTTGTTTGATGGGTTGAACGTCCTGTTGACTTTGTCCCTATCAAGATGAGAATTCTGACTGTTTTTCAGATGGCAAGGTAGATACAGAATAGAATAGAATAGAATTACAGAATAGAATAGAATAGAATAGAATAGAATTACAGAATAGAATAGAATTACAGAATAGAATTATAGAATAGAATAGAATTACAGAATATAATAGAATTAGAATTAGAATAGAATAGAATTACAGAATAGAATAGAATAGAACAGAAAAAGACAGAATAGAATTACAGAATAAAATTACAGAACAGAACAGAATAGAATTACGGAATAGAATTACATAATAGAATTACAGAATAGAATTACAGAACAGAATTACAGAACAGAATAGAATTATAGAATAGAATTACAGAATACAATAGAATAGAATTAGAATAGAATAGAATTAGAATTAGAATAGAATAGAATTACAGAATAGAATAGAACAGAATAGAATTACAGAACAGAATTACAGAATAGAATAGAATAGAACAGAAAAGGACAGAATAGAATTACAGAATAGAATTACAGAACAGAACAGAATAGAATTACAGAATAGAATTACAGAATAGAATTACAGAACAGAATAGAATTATAGAACAGAATAGAATAGAATTACAGAATAGAATAGAATAGAATTAGAATAGAATAGAATAGAATTAGAATTAGAATTAGAATAGAATAGAATAGAATAGAATAGAATAGAATAGAATATATGGAATGGAATGAAATGGAGTGGAGTGGAATGGAATAGAACAGATTGTAGAATAGAATGGAATGGAATGGAATGGAATGAACAGAATGGAATGGAACGGAACAGAACAGAATGGAACAGAAGACAATAGAACTGAATAGAATAGAATAGAATAGAATAGAATGGAATGGAGTGGAGTGGAGTGGAGTGGAGTGGAATGGAATGGAATAGAATAGAATAGAATAGAATAGAATAGAAAATATGAAATGAATAGAATAGAATAGAATAGAATAATCTTAACTCACAATGAAATTAAGTGAATAGGCTAAATTATAGGACTAGGCTGTAAGAAATATCTCTTAAATCTTTCATGCAGGCATGAAATTACGGAGCTGGTTTGACTGATAAGTGTCTTCCTGTTCAACTAAGTGAACTTCCTGATTGGGACCATTTGGTCCTGGTGGCATAACTGCTTTTGATAGGACAGCCACTTCTGTCTTGCTATTTTCTCAGGCGATTAATGTCCTTTCAAATGAGAAATTAATTGCTCTACCTGTTGCGTTCTAAGGAACATAGTGGATGGCTAGCCCCATGTTTTCCCCAACCTTGGCTCTTTTATGACTCGTGGATTTCAACTCCCAGAATTCCCCAGCCAGCTCAGCTGGCTGAGGAATTCTGGAAGTTGAAGTTCATCCGTCTTAAAGTTGATGAGATGGGAATACTAAGCTAGCTACTGTTGAAAGAAAAATCAGGTCCAGGTCCAAGCCGGGAGTAAGACGCTGGAAATAAAATGGAGGCTGCTTAGGAAAGAAACTTTCTGTTTATCGATGAGCAGAGCCAGCAACAGCATGCAGTTCTGGACAGCTGACAAAATGGAGTTGAGAGTGGGTGGGTTTTTATATCTCCTTTGGGCTTTGTGTTTGAGATGTCTGTTGTGAAATGTACTTTGACCTGTGCTCGAGTGTGCCCTTTTGGTATTCTAATTCTTGTTGCCTGACTCCCATTGTGGCTTGGAGGTCATGCCCCATCCTTGGAGCTGGCTGGGGAATGTAGATTTTAGGAGTCTTTGTTTTTCTAATTCCATCAGCTCCAGCCATCTGTGGGAGCTGTGGCTGAAGGGGTTTTGCTTATGAATAGTCTGGCCCAGTTTTTCTGAACGGATTGTTGTTGTTGTTAATTGCGAAGTCGTGTCCGACCCATCGCGACCCCATGGACAACGTTCCTCCAGGTCTTCCTGTCCTCTATCATCTTCTGGAGTCCATTTAAATTCACACCTACTGCTTCAGTGACTCCATCCAGCCACCTCATTCTCTGACATCCCGTTCTTCTATTGCCCTCCATCTTTCCCAGCATTAGGCTCTTCTCCAGGGAGTCCTTCCTTCTCATTAGGTGGCCAAAGTACTTGAGTTTCCACTTCAGGATCTGGCCTTCTCAAGAGCAGTTGGGGTTGATCTCCTCTAGGACTGACCAGTTTGAACGCAGTCCAGGGGACCCGCAGGAGTCTTCTCCAGCACCAGAGTTCAAAGGCCTCCATTCTTTGGCGCTCAGCCTTTCTTATGGTCCAACTTTCACAGCCATACATTGCAACTGGGAAAACCACGGCCTGGACTACACGCACTTTTGTTGGCAGGGTGATGTCTCTGCTTTTTAGTATGCTGTCTAGATTTGCCATAGGAGCAAGCGTCTTTTAATTTCTTGGCTGCAGTCCCCATCTGCGATGATCTTGGAGCCCAGGAAGATAAAATCTGTCACTACCTCCATTTCTTCCCCATCTATTTGCCAGGAATTGAGAGGGTCGGATGCCATGAACGGATTACAACATCTCTATTTCAAAAGATTAGCTTCCTCAGGTTTCTCCCTGAGGAAGGAAGACAGGGGCTGTTTCTGCCTTTGTTAAGATTTTTTTTCTCTCCATTTATTTATTTTATTTTATGAGACTTATATACCGCTTTAAGTGCAAGCACTCTCTAAGCGGTGTACACCAGTAAGCAATGTATATATATATATATATATTTACATTGCCCCCAACAATCTGGGTCCTCATTTTACCTACCCCGGAAGGATGGAAGGGTGAGTCAACCTTGAGCCGGTGAGATTTGAACCGCTGACCTGCTGAACACAGTCAGCTAAAGTGGCCTGCAGTACTGCGCCACCTCGGCTCCTTTAGGAGAAATATTCCATCCTGCCTTTTTAAATATCCTGCAAGGAGGGGGAAGGGTGTGTGTGCTGAATTCCTACACTACTATTTATGGTTTATGAGATTAGAAGGAACCTAATTCTGTGTGTCATTCCATCAGGTAGGGGTTTTTTTTTGGCAGGGACCTTGGAGGTCATCTAGTCTAACCCCCTGCTCAAGGAGGAAACCCTATACCATTTCAGACAAATGGCTGTCCAATCTCTTCTTTAAAAACTTCCAGTGTTGGAGCATTCAACGCTTCTGGTGGGAAGAAGTTCCACTGATCAATTGTTCTAACTATCAGGAAGTTTCTCCTTAGTTCTAGGCTGCTTCTCTCCTTGATGAGTTTCCATTTGTTGCTTCTTGTCCTGCCTTCAGGTGCTTTGGAGAATAGCTTGACTCCCTCTTCTTTGGGGCAGCCCTGAGATATTGAAAGGCTGCTATCCTGTCCCCCCTGGTCCTTCTCTTCATTAAACGAGACATCCCCAATTCCAGCAGCCGTTCCTTATATGTTTTAGCCTCCAGTCCCCTAATCATCTTTGTTGCTCTTCTCTGTACTCTTTCTAGAGTCTCAACATCTTTTTTACATCGTGGTGACCAAAACTGGATGCAGGATTCCAAGTGTGGCCTTACCAAGGCGTTACAAAGTGGCATTAACACTTAACGTGATCTTGATTCTATCCATGTGTAGGTCAAGATCTATTTATTGAATCTGCAAGGGTTTCTGCATTGATTTGAAAAGACATTGAAAAGCGATGAGCTTTCGTGAGCTGTGTAATAAGAATGACCAATAAGTTAGAAGTCAATTCCAATTATTAAAAAAAATTGTTAAGTTTTTAAATAAAAGTTATGCCTTAGAATGCAATGAGTTAGTCTTACTAGGTGCTACCAGACTTTTCCTGAATTTGTTTGTTATTGCTACTGATTTTTTATGGTTATTGTAGGCTCTTCTCTGTTTACAGCAAGTTTCGTAATTATTATGTTGGTTTATTCCTGTTATTCTTATATTTATCCACTAGATGGCACCCAAGGGTTCAGTTTTGATTTTTTTGGGGGGTTTCTGGTAGTTCTTTCAATCTGGTGCCTTGGACTACAACTCCCAGAATGCATTGGTGTCTGGACTAATTCCCAGAAGGAACTGCCATGTTGAATTCTGTAGAATAGCCCATTAGAGAGGACAGAGACGGATCAAACTGTTACACGTCGCTCATTAAAAAAAAGGAATCACTTCGCAACAAAATTACTGGATGGATTAAAAATTGCAATTGTGAATTGCAATTAAAAATCAGAAGGAAACCCCTTTCCCAACTGACAAATGTTATTGCAGGATGAAAGCTTTGGGGGCAGGGGTAGGCAACCTTGGCTCTTTTATGACTTGTGGACTTCAACTCCCAGAATTCCTGAGCCAGCCTTGCTCAGCTTGGAAACCTCTCCCTTTCCCCTCAGCATGGCTGGCTCAGGAATTCTGGGAGTTGAAGTCCATGAGTCATAAAGGGGCTGTAGTTCCCCCATGCTGGCTGAGGAATTCTGGGAGTTCAAGTCCACGAGTCATGAAGGGGCCATAGTTCCCCCCTGCTGGCTCAGGAATTCTGGGAGTTGAAGTCCACGAGTCATGAAGGGGCATAGTTCCCCCATGCTGGCTGAGGAATTCTGGGAGTCATAAAAGAGCCAAGTTGCTTACCCCTGGACCTGCTTAGAGGCTTAGAGTTTAGCTGATCCCAGCTTAAACCCTACCTCAGTCTAGTGGCTCTAGCCCCCAAATCCCTTAAACTTTAAGATGGGCGGATTCCCAGAATTCCCCAGTCAGCCTCTCTGTGCATCTGATTAAGGGAACTACAGTTGACTAAAGCTTCTTCCTTCAGATCAGATTATATGCTGGAAAAGATGCCCCCAAATTCCTCAGCTTCTGTCCCCCTCTTGACTAACATGGCTCTCCTTTTCCTCCTCCTCCTC